CGGTGCATCTCGCAAAGTACTCCAACCAGGCGTGTTGGCAGTCGGATATTGGGGACACGCTCTCTTGGGACTTCCTATGGGTGCGATTCGGCAGTTCAGACCCGCTGCAGCCCCGTGTGCTGGTTCCTGGTCCACTGGAGCGTGTGTGAGTAGTGTGCTACGAATTCTTCATGACACTAACAACGATCCGATTTATCGACTTCGTATCGAGCAGCTCACCTTAATCGCGGAGGTTTGGGTTTCGCTGTCTGCTGGCCTTCGATCGGGTGTTCGTCGAGTTCGGGAGTCTCTACATGAGAAGATAGACCCAACCGTCCGACCGTTGGCGAAAAGGTTCGTGGACCCATCGCGGCTCTGTACGTTACAATCCTCAAGCTAGGCTGGCAACTTCTCTTACTTGATGAGTGGCTCGTCGAAGGCAGTGCACCTCTTCGGATGACCGATGCTGATGTTCGTGTTCATGTCGCTGTTGCAGTACATTACAATTGCTCTGCCTCCGTATGGGCCAAGGCTTCCCTGCAGTTATGTGACCAGGGTTTAGCTTCATGAGCAGACCCCACCGTCTTGCGTGCCAAGCACAAGAAGTTGCTTGACGACGGCGACTTCCAAGAGCGCTGCTCTTCTCATTGCTATTGCTGTTGGTGGATGCTGGCCAGAGAGTCGGCTTCAAGACAGTGGATACTCAACCTCAGGTAAGTGCTTCAAGTGTGGCGATGAACGTGGGACCCCACTGCACCGTGCATGGGGATGCCCCAGTAAAGCCTTCCTGACAGACCCTGGCACTGCTGCCAGTGACTATTTGGTTCCTGAGGCCCTTGCAGCAGACCCTCAGAGTGCCTTCTTCACCCGTGGGGTGCCCAGTATCGATGCCACCTGTGGTCACGTTGCTCCCCCTCGTGTTCATGTGTGGGCTTGGGGCACCCTGAAGTCTGAGAGGCGAGTTCCTGGAGGCGTGTGGGGCCTGGATGGCTCTGGTGGTTAGCTGGAGATCAGCGGCTCTGACGGCGTGGATGGGCTAGTGCTTCCCTTGGGACTCCTGATCGGCTCTCGTTGCAGTTGGATCCTATGTGTGGTTCTCTACCTACTCCTGATCAGTCGAGCCCTCGTGCTGAATTCTATGCCTTCCTGATGGTGGTGAGTTTTACTACTGGTAATATATCGTGCTACTCAGACGGCCTGCCCCTCGTCAAGGAACTGCGGCAGCCACGTGCTCAGGTTGTACCTAGCAGTTCGATGCTCGATCTGTGGGTTCGGATCTGGTCGGCTCTGGATGATCGCGGTCGTGGGAGGATAGAGGTCCTCTGGACCAAGAGTCACTCTTCGGCCCAACAGCGGGCCCAAGTCGCCACCAGGGAATGGAAGTTGTTCCTGAATTGGTGTGCTGATTGTTTCGCTGGATGGGCTGCCGAGAGAGTGGCCCCCAGTCTTGAGCAGATTGAAGCTACGCAGTTCGTGGATCGAGCCACCTCCCACACGCTTGACCGCCTGCTGGCGGTGCACAGGGAGGTGGTCGAACATAGTCCCAGAAGAGTTCCGGACAGGCTCGGCCGCCCGCCGCCCCGCCCTCCCTCCCTCCCCTCCTTCCAGGTCAGGAAGATGAGGTTGCGGAGCGCTGGCCCTGAGCCGAGTCTTGCAGGCTGTGTCCTTCGGTGTCAAGTTTGCGTGGGGATGCTCAAGGTGAGGGGCCGTTATCAGGACTATTGCCCTGGTCCCTGCCTCGGCCTGTCCCACCTCTCCTCCGACCCGCTGGCCCACCTTTGTACCCCGCGTGTGCCAGCACCCACAGGCTAAAAGTCCTGCGTGGAGTTTTGTATTGTGAACACTGCTCCGCCCATGCGGGCGCCAGGAATGTGCGGAGTTTGGCCAGGCCCTGCAAAACAGATCATCCCCCCTCCAAAGCAGGCAAAGAGGTGCTGTCCAGGCTGGCGATGGGGCTGCCCCCCAAGAGCAGAGGTAAGTTCCTTCATGCGTGAGGCCTGCGAAGTGCCCAGGATTGACCTGGTCTCCACGGGTTTGCAGATCATATCCTCCTCCTCCTCCTCCTCCTCCTCCTCCTCCTCCTCCTCCTCCTCCTCCTCATCCTCTTCCTCCTCCTCCTCCTCCTCCTCCTCCTCTTCCATCCTCGGCTGGTCGCAGAGTGCATTGAAATGTCAAGCACCTAATTGCCGCGATGCAACTGCTGGCGAGGCCGCCTCGGAACTGGCCCTCTCCAAGCCGCTTGCGGGAGAACTCTTGACGCCTGACCTAAAACTAGGATTACTAAATGCCAAATTCGCGCAAACAACAAAGCATGCAGTATTTCCAGGCCTGCCTGGGGGGCCGTGCAAAGGCCGCCCAAGAATTCCATACGGCCAAAACTACGATCATTGGCAGAGACCGAGAGGGAGAGGAAGCGAGCGGACACGGGCAGCGGGGAAGGGCGAATGCATGGCGAAGATGCGGAGGAGGAAGGGGACGCAGGCGTCACCAGCTTCCAGAACTGCTCCTTCTGCGAAGCCAGACTCGAATTATAGGAAGTTGCACATTTGCAAACTGGCGGAGGTGCTACCAATCGAGGTGCTGCGAGAAGCGGCCCTGGCCCGGCAATTGGCCCCAGCGCTTCCAGGGAGGCTCAGCTGAGACGGCCTCCGGGCACCCCTCGCGAAGCCCAGAGGGCCCCAGGAGGGCCCAGGATGGCGCGGAAGCGCTGCTGGGGGGGAGGAGGAGGAGGAGGAGGAAGAGGAGGAGGAGGAGGAGGAGGAGGAGGAGGAGGAGGAGGAGGAGGAGGAGGAGGAGGAGGAGGGGAAGGAGAGGAGGAGGAGGAGGAGGAGGAGGAGGAGGAGCAGGAAGAGGAGGACGTTTCCAGGACGTTTCCGTGACGACTTTGTCGAGTGGGGCCACTGCGCGGCCGCTCTCGCCCGCTCTCTCAGGGCGGCAGCGCGGCGGCGGCGTCGGCGGCGGCGGCGGAGCCGGAGGAGGAGGAGCAGGAGGAGGAGGAGCAGGAGGAGGAGGAGGAGGACGACGAGGAGGAGGAGGAGCAGGAGGAGGAGGAGGAGGAGGAGGAGGAGGAGGAGGAGGAGGATGGGCCAGGGCCGCGCTCGCGGCAGCCTCGGAGGGTCTGCGGCGCCGCAGCGTGGAGGAGCGCGCGGCGCGAGCGTGCCTCCTGGGGACGTGGGCGAGCTCATGCAGAACAAGGCGATGCAGAGGCCTCCCAACTTCGCGCTCTCGCGCTGCGCGAAGAGCGAAGTGCGAATAACTTCGCGCTCTCGAGGGCGCCCTTGCAGAGGCCTCCCAGATAAAGTCCGAGTATCAATGGGGTCGGAGGGCCGCGCGGCATCGCCAGTGCATCGGCAGCGCATCGCGCATCGGCGACGTCGGCGATGCATCGGCGGCGTCGGCGTGGGGGGAATCGGGATCCACGCCGGGCCGCATCGCCGATGCAGCGGCGATGCGGCGCGATTCTCCGACCCCACCTGCTCGGACCCCATCTGAGAGGCTCACAGACGAGCCTCGCGGGGCTCCTTGCAGCCCGCCCAAGCATTCCGTCCCAGGCGGCACCCGCTACTTAGCATGGGGGAAACGGGTCCTGAGGGAAACGGGTCTGGGGCCCTTCCCCAAGAACCAATTCTTCATCCTGAGCCGGCTTCTGACAGTCCCAGGGCCCGTGGAGGGCCCCGAGAGCCCGAAAACGGCGAAGAACTTCAGGACTGGTTTGCCCAGACCCCCGACGTCGTGGTTTTCCATGACGTCGACCCTAAGTCTCGACCCATTCCCCTGGACTTGATTTTTTCATCCCGAGCCGTGTCTCTTGTTGACGGCCCCGAGGGTCCGTAAGGGCCTCCAGAGGTGGAACATACAGTAGGGGCCTGACCACAAGAAACCTTGCACAAGAAACCCAACCCTGAGACCCCAGGACATCCATTGAAATCTTGGGTGCGGGAACGTCGCGCGCCCCATAGAAAAACCATTGCAACCCTGGAGGCGAGCAGGGCGCTTCTTGGCATGGGCCTCCGCTGTACGTCAACAGCGCCCGCCCTGACTCCCTCCTTGCCCGCGGGGGCCTGGGCTCCCCCTTGAGCAGGGACCGACCGTCCCGGCACTCCGATCGTCCTACCACGAAAAAAATGTGTTCTAAGAGCAAAAACGATGTTCTTAGAACAAGAACCCGATGTGCTAAAACAAGACAGACTCCGCCAGAAATGCTCTACGAACACTTCGTGGGAACCACACACGAGGCTCCTGGAACATTGTTTGGTAGGGCTATGGGCACGCCCGGACGCTTCGCCACTGCTCGCCCCTTTTGGGCCCCGCCTCCCCCCCGGCGAGCCGCGCGGAGCCCCGCGCCACCCCCCGGGGGCCACGAGCGAGGGGGCCCCCGCGGGCCTGCGCGCTCACTGCAGCTGCGGCGCGGCCTCGGCGCCGCAGGGCACGTCCACCGGCCGCCCGTCCACGGCCAGGAAGCGCGCCTGGAGAGGCCAGAGGACCACTTGGAAGGGGCCCAAAGACACACGCAAATAAGTACACACAAAGTATCAGGAGTCCCCTGCTCCCATAGTTTCTGGGTTCTTGTCTTCCCCCCCCACACACTTCCGACATCTTCCCACATCTCCCTGGGAGTCGACGACGCATTGTGTCTGTGTGTGTTTTTTCCCCTCCTGCTACTTGCACGCGCACCGACTCTGGCCAGGCCCACCCTCCGAGCCCAGGGTCGTTGCCCCTACGCCCTCCCGCCCCAGGCCCGGAAGGCATGCTCTGCACCGGCCTCAGCGGGGAGAGCGGGGAGAGCCGGGCCCGCGGCGGCAGTGCCCCCAGAGGGAGCAGGAGCAGGAGGAGGAGGGGGAGGAGCCTTGGAGGAGCCTTGGAGGAGGAGGAGGAGGAGTAGGAGGAGGAGGAGGAGGAGGAGGAGGAGGAGGGGAGGAGCTGGGCCGAGGGGATGGGCCTTGACAGGACCGGTGCGTGTGCGCAGTTCTCTTCGCCCCGAGCGCCGGCCCCGCCGCGCGCCCGCGCCTGCCCGCGCGCGCCGCGAGCAGCAGGGCGGCGGCCGTGCACGCCGCGACGGCGGCCACGGCGGCCACGCGCCACGCGCCGCGGCCGCCGCGGTCGCCCGAGGGCCGGGCAGGGCCGCGCAGCACCGCGTGCTTCTTCATCAGGAGCTCCTCGCGGCTCAGATGGGGAGGAGCTGAGGCCCCGTGCCCCGGCATCCTCGCGCTTCAAGGTATATATATATGTGCACATCGATAAACACGTACTTATGTTTTAACACATATACATACATACATACATACAATCATACATACATACATACATACATACATACATACATACATACATACATACATACATACATGCATGCATGCATGCATGCATGCATGCATGCATGCATGCATGCATGCATACATACATACATACATACATACATACATACACACATAAATCCATGCATGCATGCATACAGACAGACAGACAGACAGACAGACAGACAGACAGACAGACAGACAGACAGACAGACGGGCAGACAGACAGACAGACAGACAGACAGACAGACAGACAGACAGACAGACAGAGAGACAGACAGACAGACAGACAGAGAGACAGACAGACAGACACGCATGCATGCATGCATCCATACCTACCTACATACGTACATACGTACCTGCATACATACTTGGATTCGGGCCAAACTTGGAGGAAAAAACATAATTGTGGGATTTCCATGTTTTTCCCAGTTCCTCGGCGCTGTTCGGCGCTGTTTTTTGTTTGTGCCTCGCGGGTTTTGTTAGCCGGGCACCTCAGGGGTGTGGGATCTTCCGAACCCCCTGGGGTTTCTGGAGACCTCCTGGAGGCCTGGAGAGCCATCGGAAGGGTGTTTTGGGCGGCGCGGGAGCGTGTTGGGCCGTTCTTTACGTTCTGGGGGCTCCTTGGGGTCGTCTTGGGCTGTCCTTGGGCGTCTTGGGGGCCCCCCCGGGAAGCCGGGATGCGCGGTACCGGCCAAATGTCAGGGGATGTGTGGTATCTCCGAGCAGGAGTCCACTTTGAAAAAAAAGAGGGCATTCTTCGAATTCCCTTCGTTTTCAAAATCCTCGATCTTCGAGGGTTGGAAGCGGGAAAACGTGAGAAGGCGAAAAACATTGGAAAAAACATGGGGGATCAACGATTTAACCCTCTTTGGGCTCTCTCGGGACGGCTCTCGCAGCTCTCTTGGGCTGTTCTTGGAGCCTCGTCGGGGTCTTTGTGGGGCCTCTCAAGGATCGGGGGTATGTTGGGGGCCTCTGGGGGGTCCCGGAGGCCTCTCGGAGGTCTCTGGAAGCCTCCTGCTCCCGCTCTTGGGCCCATCTTGGATCTGTTCTGGGATGGTCTGGGGCTGTCCTGGGCGCCTCGTCGGCAATTTTGGAGCCTTCTTGGCCCGTCTTGGGGCCGTCCTGAGGGTCTCTTGGGTGGTCTTAGGGGCGGTCTTGGGCGACTCATTCGGCGTTCTTGGAGCGTTGGAAGCTCGAAAACGCGAGAAGCTAAAAACATTTGACAAAAAAAAAACAATAAAATTCAACGATTTGGGCCTCTTCGGGCCGTCCCGGGACGCCTCTCGGACCTCTCTTGGGGTCTCTTGGAGGCCACCTGGGAGCCTCGAGAGCCGTCGGAAGGCTGACTTGGGCTGCTCGGGAGCGCCTTGGGCCATCCTTTCGCATTCTGGGGGCTCCTGGCCGGCGTCTTGGGCCCTCCTGGAGCGCTGCGGAGGCTGCCAGGAAAGGCCGGGGGAGCGGTACCGGGAGCGTTCCCGAGATGTTCCGGGGAGGTGTGGGCACGGGGCCGGGGGGGGGGGGTCGGTATTTCTTCATCTGTTATATAATTATCCCGGCAAAGCAACCTAACAGCATTATGTAGGAGCATATCTGGAAGCATTCCCCTTAAGATTCAGATGAGAATCCAGTTGTAGAATTCTGCTGTTCTCGCAGTCGTAGTCGCATTCGCGATGACAGTCGCAGTGGCAACGGCAGTCGCAGTCACAGCCTCAGCCTCAGCCTGCCTCAGCCTCAGCCTCAGCCTGCCTCATCAGCCTGCCTCAGCCTCAGCCTCAGCCTGCTTCAGCCTCAGCCTCAGTCTGCCTTCAGCCTCGGCCTCAGCCTCTGCCTGCCTCAGCCTCAGCCTGCATCAGCCTCAGCCTCAGCCTCAGCCTGCCTCAGCATCAGCCTGCCTCAGCCTCAGCCTCAGCCTGCCTCTGCCTCAGCCTCAGCCTGCTTCAGCCTCAGCCTCAGTCTGCCGTCAGCCTCGGCCTCAGCCTCAGCCTGCCTCAGCCTCAGCCTGCATCAGCCTCAGCCTCAGCCTCAGCCTGCCTCAGCATCAGCCTGCCTCAGCCTCAGCCTCAGCCTCAGCCTGCAGCCTCAGCCTCAGCCTGCTTCAGCCTCAGCCTCAGTCTGCCTGCAGCCTCGGCCTCAGCCTCAGCCTGCCTCAGCCTGCCTGCCTCAGCCTCAGCCTCAGCCTGCAGCCTCAGCCTCAGCCTCAGCCTCAGCCTCAGCCTGCCTCAGCCCTGCCTCAGCCTCAGCCTCAGCCTGCCTGCCTCAGCCTCAGCCTCAGCCTCAGTCTGCCTTCAGCCTCGGCCTCAGCCTCAGCCTGCCTCAGCCTCAGCCTGCATCAGCCTCAGCCTCAGCCTCAGCCTGCCTCAGCATCAGCCTGCCTCAGCCTCAGCCTCAGCCTGCCTCAGCCTCAGCCTCAGCCTGCTTCAGCCTCAGCCTCAGTCTGCCTTCAGCCTCGGCCTCAGCCTCAGCCTGCCTCAGCCTCAGCCTGCATCAGCCTCAGCCTCAGCCTCAGCCTGCCTCAGCATCAGCCTGCCTTCAGCCTCAGCCTCAGCAGGCCTCAGCCTCAGCCTCAGCCTGCTCAGCCTCAGCCTGCATCAGCCTCAGCCTCAGCCTCAGCCTGCAGCCTCAGCCTCAGCCTGCCTCAGCCTCAGCCTGCTTCAGCCTCAGCCTGCATCAGCCTTCAGCCTCGGCCTCAGCCTCAGCCTGCCTCAGCCTCAGCCTGCATCAGCCTCAGCCTCAGCCTCAGCCTGCCTCAGCATCAGCCTGCCTCAGCCTCAGCCTCAGCCTGCAGCCTCAGCCTCAGCCTTCAGCCTCGGCCTCAGCCTGCCTTCAGCCTCGGCCTCAGCCTCAGCCTGCCTGGCCTCAGCCTCAGCCTCAGCCTCCTCAGCCTCAGCCTGGCCTCAGCCTCAGCCTCAGCCTGCCTCAGCCTCAGCCTGCCTCAGCCTCAGCCTCAGCCTGCTTCAGCCTCAGCCTCAGTCTGCCTTCAGCCTCGGCCTCAGCCTCAGCCTCAGCCTCAGCCTCAGCCTCAGCCTGCCTCAGCATCAGCCTGCCTCAGCCTCAGCCTCAGCCTGCCTCAGCCTCAGCCTCAGCTTCAGCCTCAGCCTCAGTCTGCCTTCAGCCTCGGGCCTCAGCCTGCCTCAGCCTCAGCCTTCCTCAGCCTGCATCAGCCTGCCTCAGCATTCAAAATGTGCCCGGGAATGGAGTTCTGGGAACTCGAAGAACACGAAGTGGCCTACAGTTGGCTCCGGGCATTCAAAATCATGCCCAGGAATGGAGTTCTGGGAGCTCGAAGACCACGAAGTGGCCTACAGTTGGCTCCGGGCATTCAAGATCATGCCCAGGAATGGAGTTCTGGGAACTCGAAGACCACGAAGTGCGTTACTGTTTGCTTAAAAAGGAATCCCCGGCATCCTCCTCCGGATCGCGCCCAGACCCCCCTGGGGCGTCATGATGCTCTCTTTTGACCCTACTAGAAACCTATCAGTCTTCGCTGTTAGGTAAAAAAGGCAAGAAGGCTTTAGGTTCGGGCTCTGGGGGCCCTGGCCGGGCTCCAGGGCCGTCCAGGAGCGAGCCAGGAAGAGAAGCGGGCCCCGGAGGACGGGTTCCCAGACATTCGGCTGCTCCAATTTTTTTGGGTGCGTGGACCCAGGAAGTCCAGACCACTTCGCCGGGACCGGTTCTTCGTCCCGAGTCGTTTCTCGAGGCCCGGCGAGGACCCCCGGAGGCCGAAAACTGTTTTTTTTTTTTTTTTTTTAAAAAAAAAAAAAAAAAAAAAAAAAAAAAAAAAAAAAAAAAAAAAAAAAAAAAAAAAAAAACGCCTGCTCCTCCCCCTCCTCCGGCAGCACAGCGTCTTCGCCTTGCGCTCGCCCGACCGCGCAGGCGGCCAGGCGCGGGGAGCTGCGGTTTCTGTGCGTCCCCCTTCCGCCTGGGTCAGGGGCTGCGGCTTGCAGGCCGGAGGGCGTTGAAGCCTTCCGCCGCCCTGAAGAGAACCGCCCGCTCCAACCTTTGTTGGAGCGTCGCATCTCGGGGGCCCAGACCTCGGGGGGCCCACGCCGTGCACACAGAGCACGGCGTCGGATGCCTGGGGCCGCCGCCGAGGGCCCGGGGGAGGGGGGGAGGGAGGGGGGGAGGGAGGAGGGAGGGGGGGAGGGAGGGAGGGAGGGAGGGGGGAGGAGAGGAGGAGGAGGAGGAGGAGGAGGAGGAGGAAGAGGAGGAGGGCAGCCGAGCCTTCTCGCTGTGGGAGGCCCCACGCACCCCCGCGCGCAGCGGCACTGCGCACCCCCCCGATATGGGCCTGCGCAGCCGGCAAAGTCAAGCCAGCGGGCCCAGCAGCAGAGCAGCGGAAGGCTACATTTAAGTCGGGCCTGTCCCCCTACAGGGGGATTTTGGCAGGCCTAGAGGTTGACACCAACACCACTATCGGCCTTGAGCCTCCACCGAGGGAAGAAGATCCCGACCTCGGTGATGGTGGTAATATTCTGGCTTCCAAGGTGACCGAAATATTACCACCAACACCGGAATCTAGGATCATCTTCGCCCTGTGGAGGCAAGCCCCTGTGTTGGTGTTGGTGCCCATTTCCAGGCCTCCGAGATTTTGGACGACAAATCAAACATCCTCCAAACATGCCCCCCAAAATGGTCAAAGAATACGAAAAAAGATTCCCCAGACTGTTGTTGACTATTTTGGGGTATCCCCCTGTAGAGGGACACGACCGACTGAAAGCTGCATGCGCAAACATCAACTTTCGGAGGTCCGCGCAGAGTTCTCGGATCGGAGAAGCCCCCCCCCCTGGCGCGCGAAGCGCACCAGGGGCGGCGCCGGAGGCGCCGCCAGGGGGGCCCAGCGCCAATCCGAGAGACCCACGTGGAGCTCCCAAAATTTATGTATTTTTGTCCGGCTTTACTTCGTGATAGCCGAGGCTCTTGCCGGCACCTTGCAAGACAGTCTCCGCTCTTTCTCGCCGGCAGCTCCTCGAACTGGCCCCCAGCCGAGCCTGCCGCGCCAGCGCCGGCCAGCGGCTCGTCAGAGTTGTACTTCCGGATGGAGCTGCGCACCCAGGCGCCAGACTCCGTCAGGTCGCCATCTGACCAGCCGCCGGACCCGCTGGCGCCGCCGCGCAGCGCGGAGCACGACTCCTCCTTTGAGAAGGGCACAAGCAAGCACCCGTACCGCTACTTCCCAACCCTCTCCCAGGGTGCGCTCCGAGCCGAAGGTCGGGGAGAATCCAGCCGTGGCGACGAGGGAAGGGTGGCGGCATCGGCACAGGCGTTCCTCCTCCGGTCCTTGTCGCTGATGGCCCAGTTCGAGTCCGAGATGTGGTTCTCCTCCATGAAGTCCTGCCACGCCTGAGACTCCTCGAGGTCCAGGCGGCCATCGCCGGTGTACTCGCAGGTGCCCCACTCGGTGGCGAAGATGGCGGCACCGTTGGCGAGGGCGGTGGAGACCTTGCCACGCAGGTCGGCGCCCATGGAGGCGGCGTAAAAGTGCACCGTGTAGGCCAGGTTGTCGCCCTGGACGGGGTCCTGCGAGGCCACGTCCACCTCCTGCGACCACGTCCTGGTGCCCAAAATGATGATGTTGTCGGAGTGCTCCCTGATCACGGGGACGACCTGCTCATGGTACGGCTTGATGACGCCCGACCAATCGACCTGCTGCGGCTCGTTGTACGTCTCGAAGAGCACGTGGGGCTTGTCACCATATTTCTGGGCCATCTCGCTGAAGAAGGCCTTCGCCTCCTCGACGTGGTCTTCGCCGTGGTAGGCGTGCCAGTCGATGACCACGTAGATTCCCGCGTCGATGCAGGCGTCCACCACAGCCTGCAACTTCGCCTTCTCGGCGTCGGGGTTCTCCAGGTAGCCGCCCTGCTCGACGCCCATCGCGGCGCGGATGAAAGAGACGTGCCAGTCCTCCTTGAGCCACCTGATGGTGTCGGGGGTCCAGTAGTTGCCCATCCACTGCGACCAGAACATCGACATGCCGCGCAGGCGGACCGGCATGCCGTGCTCCCCGACGATCGTGTTGCCCTGGACACGCAGCCGGCCGTGCTGCCTCACGGCCTCGACGTTCGGCACCAAGGTGCCCGTGGCCGGCGCCCGCGCGGACGTGGGCGCGGGCGCCGCACCAGTGGGGGCCGGCGTGGGAGCCGGGCTCGGGAACGCCTCGAAGCTGGAGTCCACCACGGTGACGTTGTAGGTCTTGCCGCCCACCCGCATGCCGAGGACGGCGTCCCGGGCGAGCGCCCGCGTGCCGTCGAAGCTGAGGAGCAGCTCCGTGCCGGCCGCCGCCTGCCGGCTGCTCGGCGTGCCCTCCTCGCACCAGGTTGCCGACCCGCACGAGCCGCACGCGGCCTGGGGTCCAGAAGCCAAGACTGCGATCTCCACGCAGGCCGGCCAACACGCAGCCATCGGCAAAGACTGCCCGAGGCTCGTGGGACAGTGGAGGTGCCGTGGCTGCAGGCAGCCGTCACAGGAGTGTCACTAAAACCCGAAGACGAAGCACAGAGAAAGAGAGAGAGAGAGAGAGAACGCAATGAGAGAGGGACACGTATTTTACACGCAGAGAGAAACAGGGAGAGAGATAGGGTGAGTGAGAAAGGCAGAGAGAGAGAGAGAGAAGGAGAGGGAGAGGGATAGAAAGAGAGAGAGAGAGAGAGGAAAAGAGAGAACCATTCAGCGACAGGACGCACGCGACCGCCTGAGACTTGCTGCAGTAGCTGGTGGGCCCCGCGACGGCCATCGGCAGGCAGGTGCCGCAGAAGTCCGTGAGATCGTCTGCGGCCCAGCAGCAAAACCTCGCCCCCCCCCAACCAGAACCTTGCTAACCAGGGCTTGGAAGCCTCCACCTGGCGAGAAGAAAGCATTGAGAATCTGTCGCCCCGCGACTGCAGCGTCCTCGGGCGCGCCAATGTCCTGGTTTGTAAACTTTTTGTTCGGCGTTCCGACCTTCGATCTTATTCCTGCTCGCCATCTTAATTTCAGGTCGATCGGCGTACATACTACTATCAAAAAGCACTCAGGCGGGATCGGCTGTTTTGTGTCATCTTGGCAGGTGCTGTCGGTTTTTGTAACTTAACTCGAACTGTAGAACACATAGGGCGGAAGGGGGGGGGACGGGGGGAGTCTGGCTCCGGACCTCTGCTTAGTGCGACTGTTTGTAAGAGTGCGGCCTCTGGGGGAGACACCACCCGCTCGAAAAGGGCGCCAAAAAACAGCCAAGATCTACTCCTGAGGGGGGGGGGGGGAGAGGGTTTGGGGCCCGCGCCGACCGGCAACACAATGAATCAACAAACTATCCCTTTATCAAGGTCCACGTTTCGGGAGCCGTGAGAACCCCCCGCTGTCGCCGGCAGCATCTGCCCCCTGCGCGGCCAGAGCTGCCACGGCGCTGACAACGGCCACAGCGCACTGGGGCATCATTGCTCCGATGGTGCTCGGGATTTACCAGGCCCTGTCCTTCCCGCGCTCGCAGCCAAAATGGCTTGCAAGTCTGTCGTGGCTCGCGCCGCAAAATGGCTCGAGCGAAATGTTGCTGCGGAGGGGAGGGGCGGAGGAAGACGAGGCGAGGAGAAGGGGCCCACTCACCCGACGTCGTCATTTTTATTGTCGCGGGGTGGACCCCAGAGGTCTCGAAACCTATACCTAGGAACGGTTTCCCAATCAGCGCTGTCGTCATCCCAGGGCCAGAGAAGGGCCCCCAGAGGGCAATGCTTGCCAAGCACAACTATTGTGCTCGCGACGCCCGCATACCTAAGGAGGGAGGAGACACAACCACCGTGCTACCACAAGGAACGCCGAATGGGGAACGGAGAGGCATTCCTTAGGGAAACGACATATATACATATATACATATATACATATATACATATATACATATATACATATATACATATATACATATATACATATACATACATATATATATATGGTTTATGTGCACATATATATATATATATATGTATATATATATATATATATGTGTATATATAGGTGTGTATATATATATGCATCGACGCGTTTCCCGGGCCTGTGCTAATACTTGCAGCCAGGAAATTGGATCCTGGTGTACGCGGAACCATGGTGTATACATGTTTCGCTGTTTCCTCACGAGCACGGGGAACTAAGTATGCACCACACACCACACCACCCCGACGTCGTCCTCAGCCCTCAAAAAGTCTGGGGACTGAGCAATAGCCCGCCACTGGTAATGTATATGCTCCAGTTTCCGACCCTGGTCACGTCACGATTCGCGCCAGCGCCGTCTGGGAGTTTGCCATCCTCAGGCATCCCCACGCGGCGCCGGCGCGATTCGTGACGCGACTGCCCCCGTTCCCCCCTTCGCCCCCCCGGTCACGCCCGCTGTCGCCAAGGGATACGCACACAAGGGCAGACCCGCTTCAAAGCGGAGTTATCGCTGGGCACCTCCCGAAAGTCACCTCGTGGCCCTGCCCCCTTGTGCAGTTCTTGCAGCGGGAAGCGTGGAAAGGTGGGCCCTTCGAAAAAGGGGGTCTCGCCCCAATGGCATGCCCACGGGGCGTTCGTCTGGCAGCAGGGGCGCTTCCCGCAGCGGAGAGGGATGCCGCTGAGGACTTCTGAGACGGGAATGGTGCATTGGTGACTGCTTGGTGAATATCGGGTTTACTCTGGTTCTCCTCCTCGTGGATATTCTCCTGCTGCTCCTCCTCCTCCCTTTCCTCCTCCTCCTCCTCCTCCTCCTCCTCCTCCTCCTCCTACGTTGTGCTCGCCGCAGCCGATGTGTTGGTCACTTGTTGTCCGGCTCGAGGGGTTCATCCCTTCTCCTGCCCCTCCACAACAATCCCAGCTCTTGGACAACTCCAACTCCTGGAACCATCTCCAATCCTCCTCCTCCTCCTTTTCCTCGTCCTCCCCTCCTCCTCTCTCCTTTCTCCTCGTCGCCTCCCCTTCTCGTCTCCTCTTCCCCCCCCGGGGTTCACAGCTCCCACGGCGGTTCACCCCCCCGCTGGGGCGAGGCGGCGCGCGGAACGCGCCGCCGCCGTTACTCACGCTGTGGTCGATGTTTCGGGCGCTTGCGCTTCAGGAGTCCCCGCCCTGTCGCCCAGGACAGGCCTGGGGGTAGGCGGCAGGCTCGTTTTCGCCGACGTTGTGCGTGTTTCGCATCTTCGGAGGCCAGGCCAGCAGAATCCAGCAGAATCCTCCTCCTCCTCCTCCTCCTCCTCCTCCTCCTGCTCCTGCTTGTCCGCCTCCCCATCCTCCTCCTCCTCCTCCTCCTTAGCCCCCACCGCTCCTCCTCCTCCTCCTCGCCCCCTCTTGTCCTCCCACTCCTCCCCCTCCGCCTCCTCCTCCTCCCCCTCCTCCTCCCCCTCCCCCCTTCCCTACGCCCCCTCCCACCCCTCTTCGCCCTCGCCACTCCGCGAGGGCCGGGGGCGGAGGAGGCAACCAGACGGGACGGGCCCGCCGCCGCGGCCCCGAGAGCGCGCGCGGAGGGCCGACAGGGCGCTCGGGCCGCGCGCGTCCTCCTCGCCGGCCCGGACGTTCCAGTGCAGATCGATGGACTTCCCGGCCGCCTGCCGGGGACCCGCTGCGCCCGCGTCGCCCGCGCGCTCGTGGGCCCCGCCCACCCCGAGATCCGACGCCCCAGAAAAATTGGAACAGGCGTTATTTGATAGTTTTCGGCCTCCGGGGGTCCTCGCCGGGCCTCGGGAGCGTCAAAAAAAAAACTCGGGACGAAAAACCGGCCCCCGCGAAGTGGTCTGGACCTCCTGGGTCCACGCACCCCAAAAAATTGGAACAGGCGGATGTTTGGGTACGCTCCCCCTTTCGGGGGAACTCGAGCGGGAGCGATGCGGCGAATCCCTCCTTGAGCAACGCCCCCCCAGGCGATGCTCCCTGCCCTCGACGCTCGAGGGCCGAGGGGAGGCCTGATACCCAGACCCCCGACGCTATGATTTTGTTCATTACGTTGACCCCCGAGGTCTCGACACATTCCCCGGGACCGGTTTTTCATCCTGAGGCCGAAAAGAAGGAAAAACCTCCCGTCGTGATCTTTTAATGACCCGAGGGGGTCTGGGTAAGGAGCCGCGGTTTGGCTGTCCTCCTCTGGGCCTCCGAGGGGGCCTCTGCGGAGGCCGCCTCCGGAGGCCCCGCGGGCACCTCCATGGGAGACCCTCGGGGAGCTCTCCGGAGACCCCCGGGGGGCTGCGGGGACCTCCCGGGGGACAGCGCCTGGCTGGTTCCAGACACCGCTCGCTCCTGCCACAGCAACAATCGTCGAGGTCCACCGTCGAGAATCGTGAGGATCTTGAGGATGGGCTGTGCGCAGCGCCGTCGTGCGTATAGACCACCTGGACGGTGCCAGCGCTACCGGCACGAAATCTGCCAAGGCCACAAAGCGACCTTCCCATCCGAGCGAACCAAGCGGCCAATTTCACACGACATGCGAGTATACGAGGAAAAACAGCACTGGCTCGCACCGTGCCAATTTGACTCTTCGTTCCTCGCGCGTCATGATTCCGAGCGGAAATCTACCGCCAGCTGGAAAGCACTGGGCACTGGACATCTAGCCGATACATCGGCGATGCATCGGCGATGCATCGGCGGTGCTTCGTCGACGTCGGCGATGTATCGGTGACGTCGACGTGAAGCAAACCGGGCTGCACATCGAGCCGCATCGGCGATGCATCGGCGGGGGCGGCGCGATCCTCCTCCGACCCCATCTACTCCGGCCCCATCTAGGAGGCCTAGAATATCGCCATCCTGTCCAACAGCGCTTCGGCAAGGGGCCGACAGCGCCTGCCGAAAAACGGCGACCAATGTGGACGGCTTGATCCACGAAGTGCAAGCCGTCTCGGCGTTGAATCCTCAACAGGGGGCCCTTTGAACAGGGCTGCACGCATGCCAAAGTTCACTGCCAGCTCAAAAAGGCATGACTTTCCAAATTGCATGGTTCCTAGAAGCCTGGTCATGGAGACCCGACGCTGGAAAAAAAAGGTGTGATGCCAGACGCCGTCCGTTGCAGATCAGTTGACATGGTTTGCAATGTGTTGCCGCTGCGCAGGACTGAGAAACTCTCTTGCACTCGGTCGCAGAGGTCTCCAGTGGCGCAACAAATGCGCCAAAGCCGACTACACGTAAGAGTGACCATGGATAAGAGTGACCTTTGGTGCGCGGCTTTTGGGGGGCCGCGGGGGGGGGCCAAACCCAGGCGCGCAAGCCGCTGCTACCGCTTCGCGTTCAGCGATCGGGGGCCCCATTGGGCCCGCACCAAGGGTCACTCCGGCGAAGGGTAAGTCTTACGTCTAGTCGACAAAACGCCCCAACACACTGCATCGTCGAGCGCCCGGGGAGAAGAAGAAGGACCGAGTGTCAAGAAGCGTGGCGGCCCTGGCTCCCCGACCCAGCCAGGCTTCCGTCGACCGACCATATGACCCGGGGCCCGACCCGGGACCATGCGAGGGGGGGTGGGGTTGGCGGGGCATTCTCTGGGAGGGGTGAGCCCAGATGGCCATCCTGGCTGCGACCCCGAGGACCCGGGCGGGACATCGCCCGCGACGAGCCCACCCCGTCCCCCGCCCCCAGGAACAAAGGAAAGCAACACCACCACCACCAGGAGCCACCCGCGGGAGGAGCCAGGGGCTGTCCCCCCAGTGGCGGTGGTCCCGCCCCCTCTTTTTGCTCAAGACGTCCCCCATCCCCAGCTCGGGGAAGTATATCCTGGACCCCCTCGCCGGAGGTGGCTCCAGTGGTGGTGGTGTCGCGCCTCCTCCCCCCGAGCCGGGCACCAGCTCCAGCGGCTGGCCGTACATTCCCATGGGGTCGATCTCCAGCCCCAGGCCCGACGAGTTGTGCAGCACCAGGCGCGGGCGCAGCGTGACCTCCGATTCCGCGTGCAGGGGAGGGGGCGGTCGCGCTCGGTGGCCCGCAGGCATGAGGAGGAGGAGGAGGAGGAGGAGGAGGAGGAGGAGGAGGAGGAGGAGGAGGAGGAGGAGGAGGAGGAGGGGGAGGGGGAGGAGGGGGAGGAGGAGGAACTGGAGCTTGCTGGGGGCCCGAGGTGGCCCGGCACTCCAGTGCCTGCCGGCGGGGAGGGCAGGCAGGCTCGAGGCGCTGGGCTCGAGGAGGCCCTCTGGCCCGCGCTCGGCCTCCAGGGAGCGCTCTCGGGCCCCGGGGGACCGTCGGAAACAGATGCGGGGTGGAAGCTGGCACCGCGTGGACCCTGGGGGGGGGGTCTGGGGTTCTGTTGCTCCCGTCGTACTCAAGGGGGGCCACATCCCAGAAATCATGTCGAGCACCCAGAGAAAAGTGTCGAAACGGTGTCGAAGGAGTGTCGCATCCCAGGGCCCGACACGTGAAAGCCCTCCAGATTCGGTAATTTCTTGGTGCTCGAAATTCTTACTGGTGGTCAAAACTAAAAGTAGGTCCGAACATCATAAGTCTGGGGGCCGATTTTGAACGGATTTGCGTTCATCCCCTCCTTCTTGACCGATTTGCTCGGGGTTCACCCAGCTCAGACCCTCCAGCCGCCTCCGATCTTAGAACCTCTTCTCCCAGAGACCTCCAGTGCCTGAACAAAAGCTGCTCGACGCAGAAATCCTAATACACGCCTCAGGTGTCCTGCGTCTCCCCTGAAAAGCCGAGTAAGAGGCCTGAGGAGGGTCGATGAGGAGGACCAAGGAGGGCTGAGGAGAAGAGTTGAGGACGAAGGGGGGAGGGCTCAAGATGGACGACGGACGATGGTGGCCCTCCCCTTGTAAGGCTTCGAGCCCCCGCTGGCCTCAGCAGGCCCCTCGAGCATACCAAGGTGGCCTCAACAGGCCCCCCGAGTAGTCTGGGCCAGTCTCGACGCTCTGGCGCCGCCTCGGGTGGCGTCCCCGGGGGCGCGCCGCGCCACAGGGTTGGGGTGTTGAGGCCGCCCTGGACGACTCGGGGGGCCTGTTCAGGCCACCTGGGACCTTAGCTGCCCCGATACGCAACACGAAACACGTAGCGCATTGATACGGAGCTCAACACGTAGGCTGAATACGTGGGTCCGACGCGATACATTCGCCAAAGCGTGGTCCAATATGCCTGGAGCCGACACGCAACGTATTGACACACACACGTCTTGAACACGGGACGTGTTGCGTTTCCAAACGGGCGCATCGAGGCAGCGAAGTTCAGGGGGCCTGTTCAGGCCAGCCAACACAACCTTGGGGGGGCTGTCCGTGCGCAATGCAGAGCCTCACCACTCCCGTCCTCTCGGCCTTGAGGTAAATCGGGCGTGTGCCCCTTCAGGGGGATTTTCGACGAACGAGAAAAACATACCCTAAACATATGCCAAAATGGCCAAAAAAGAATACCCCCGACTATTTGTGGACTATGTACTTTTGAATATGCCCCCTGTAGAGGGACAGGCCCGACTTGAGCCTCGAGCCACGGGGCCCACGGGAGCAGAGACCGCGGCACGAGCTCCGCGCGAAGAGGAGGGGGTCGGGGACTCCCGAGCCCTAGACTCAAGTCGGGCCTGTCCCCCTACAGATGGGTTTTCGACGAAAAAATAAAGATACCCCAAAATACCCCAAAAAGGTCAAAACAAATACAGAAAACATACTATTTTTGGGCTATTGTTTGATTATTTTGCTATATTTTTCATTTGTTGTCGAAAATCCCCGTGTAGGGGGACAGGCCCGACTTAACCCTAGACACGACCAGGGCCCCTCCATCCAAGAGACCTGCATGGGCGACGAGGCCCTGCTCTGTTGCCCAAGCCTCAAGGGCAACTATGTTCGCGCTGCGCGCTGCGCGCTGCGCGCTGCGCGCAGAAGTTCGCGTCGCCGATGCAATCTTGGATCTGGGAGGCCTGAGCTCGGCGGCGAGCGATGGGGGGAAATGAGAAGGAGGAGGCCTTCTCAGAAGGCGGCGGGACTTCTCAGCAGCGCTCCGGCCCTCTGAGAAGTTTTCTCAGCGTCTTCGGGGAAGGCGTGGACAACTTCTCAGCGGCCCGGGGACTTCCGAACCTTCTGAGAAGGCCTTCTCCCTCAAGCTCCCCCCCCTCGCTCGCCGCCCCAGACCCCCGACGTCATTATTTTCGTCACAACGTCGACCCTGTGAGGTCTCGACCCATTCCCTGTGACCAATTTTTCATCCGGAGTCGTGTTTTGACGGTCCCGAGGCCCGGTAAGGGCCTCCCGAGGCCGAACATGTGGAAAAGCCTCTCGTCGTAATTTGTTTGTGTAAGGAAGAGCCTCTCGTCGTGGTTTGTCCATTGCCCGAGGGGGTCTGGCGCTGGGCTCCCTCGCGCCCTGGCAGCAGAGAGCCCACTGCTCGAAGGTCCGCACCCGGAGCAGAAGAGCAGAGGGCAAGGGACTCGGAGAGAGGCGAGGCGGCCCCACGAGGGCGGGCGCTCCGCCGTCACGGCCCCGCCCCCGCGACCCCCTCCCCCCTCCCTCCCTGGCCTTCCGCCCACCTCTGCCTCGCCTTCGTCCTCCTCGCCTTCGTCCTCCCCGTCCTCCCCGCCTCCGTCCTCCTCCACTGCTCGCCTTCGTCGGCGTCCTCTTCCTCCTCCTCCTCCTCCTCCTCCTCCTCCTCCTCCGCCGCCTCCTCCTCCTCCTCCTCCGCCGCCTCCTCCTCCTCCTCGTTGTTCTCGTCCCCGTCCCTGCTTCCTCTCCGTCCCTTCTCCCTGCCTGCTTCTCGTCGCCCTCCTCGCGCCCTCCCCTCCCCCCCGGGGGCGCGCTCCCGCGCGCGCCCGCGCGCGCGCGGGGAAGGAGGGCGCGGGAGGAGGACTCTGAGGTCCTGCCGACTCAATTTTTTTCGAGCCGGACGTTTTCGCCCCCTCTCGGGCCGCGCGACCCGCACAGATCGATCCGGCTCGAGAGATGAGATGCTGCATGAGAGTTGGGATCCGGTCCGGGGGTCCGGTCGTGATTTCTTGCAAGGTTGTAGTTTGCTCGCGCCGGCGGATCTCGGGGGAGGGCGGCGGAGAAGGAGAGGGACTGCAAGGAGGCGCCAAGCTGGAGGCGGCCGGCGGGTCTGTGAGCTGGCGGGGGCCCCAGAGAATCGGCCAAGTGAGGGTCCCAGACCCCTCCCAGTGTCTTGCTGTGTCTCTCTGTGTCTCTCTGTGCCTGTGTGTGTCTACCTGCGTGGTTTCGCCGGTTGCGTTTTCGCTTGAAAGAAACTAGCTTTTTCCGCTTGAACAAGCATCTCTTCGATTGAACGATCTGCCCTCCCACCCACCCGGTGCAGTTTTTCATCCCAGATCCGTTTTCGATGGCCCCGGGGCCCGAGATCAGCCCCTGCCCAGGAGAAGGCCCAAAACCTTCCCGAAGCCAGAGCCTCGCAACTGCCCGCCCGACCCAGCTCGAACGAGCCAGCAATCCCCTAATTAGGAGGCCGCACGCGAACCCTACTCCACCACCCCACGCTTTCTGGGGGGGTGGTCCCTTCGCTCGAGACCTCCCGAGCGGAGTGGACCACAAATCCCCCCTTAGAAATCATGGGGTGGTGGGGTCGGGTTCGCATGTGCACTCCTATCCCCGCCCAAACCCAGGAGAGCCTAGAACCGAATCGACAAGTCAGATCGGCGATCGAAATGACCCAGATCGGCCGAAATCGGCAGCCGAGTCGGGAAAAGTCGAATCGGCGGCAATCGGCGGGCCAGCATGCCTCCAAGAAACCATCGGAACCCCCTATCGAATCGGAGAGGCAGAATCGAACCGGCATCGGCGGCGAGCGAATCCGAATCGAATCGCAGCGGAGAAACCGAAACGAGCCCTCCACCCTCCCTCTCCTGGCCATCGCTCGGACGTCCATTCCCTGTGTTTTTGTTCGGTTTCGTGTGTGGTTTTTTTCGCCAAATGATCAAGGATGCTCCTCGATGGCCCTCGCCGAAGGAAAAGTGCACACGTCCGAGCGATGCCGGGTCCCACATCGCACGACGCGGTGCCAGCACGACCCGCTGAGGCCAGGAGCGCGGCGCGCGCCCGCGTCGCGGGCGGGAGACAGGCTCGCGCGCGCTCGGCCCCGCGCCCCGCGGCGCGAGGAGAAGAAGCACTGGCCCCGGCGTTGGCGGCGCGCACAAGGGGGGGTACTTAGGGGGAGGGGGGAGGGCTTCTCAGAAGGAGGCTGCTTCTTCGAAGGCGCCGGCCTCACATCTACAGACAAGGCCCGCACCTTCTAGGAAGCAGGGCTGCTCCTCAGAAGCCCTCTCCCCCCTCCCCCTAATTACCCGCGGCGCGTGGCCGAGGGCATGCACGCAATACTAAAGGTGCCTGGGCCTCGTCCCATTACGCACACGCACACACAGTGCTCGGGCCGCCACTTGCCACAGAGTGGTGGACAAGCACAGCATCATAGAGTGGACACACTCCTGGCCCCGATGGCCGCTCCAAAGCGGAAGCAAAACCCGGCGAAACCCTTGCGCGGCGCCGCCGCTGGAGCGCAGCTCGGCCGCTCCGCGCTCGACTCGGGCCTCCGGCAGCACCGGCAGAGGCAGAGCAGGCGTCGCGCCCGGGCGGGTGCGCAACTTTCGACGGACATATGCGCAGCGCTCGAGCGAGGGCGGCATTTCGCTGCCCCGCGCGGCCACGCCGCTGACGTCTGACGGCCTTGGCGAGCGGCACGCGTGCGACGCGCCGGGCGCGGCGCGGGCGCGCAAATTTTTCGGGCGACGTCTGGGCGGTGCCTTTTTTGTGGGAGCGATCGCGACAGCCCGCCCAGCCGCGCGCGGCCCCGCTTCCGACGAGCAGCACAGCACAGCCCTCGGTACGGTATATCAAGATCGATGCTTTCGGCATTGCATGTGCCTGTCGCCCAATCAGGTGTCTTTGAAGCGCTGCCATGCCTGAAATTTCTATACTCCTTTCAGGGTTCGTGGGTCGATCATGTTTACGTGTCCAGGCCACCCAGGGGGGTATCTAATCATGGTCGCCCCGAGATGGCACAACGTGTTTTTACGTGTCCGGACCACCCAGGGGGGTATTTAACATGGCTGTCCCGAGCTTGAAAAAAGTGTTTTTAAATGTCCAGGCCACCAAGGGGGGTATCTAACGGAATTGTCCAGAGCAAGGGCCATGTGCTTTAACGTGTCCAGGCCACCCAAGGGTGTATTTGCCCAGAGCTGGTCCCACGTGTGTTTACGTGTCCAGGCCACCCAGGGGGATATCGAACATGCTTGTCCCGAATTGGAACCACGTTGTTTTACGTGTCCAGGCCGCCAAGGGGGGTATTTGACATGGCGGAACCAAGTGCTTCAACTGGCCAGCAAAGAAGCGCGACGCGCCCAAGCGTGAGCCCATCTCTGAAGAACCGCCTGCGCGGCGGTGTGGAAAGAACGTTCCGAAGAATCGCGCGCACGATGTGCGCCGCGCATCGTTCCCGCCACGCATGTCGCAGCGTCGGCCACCCAGCGCCCATGCTGGAAGGGCAAGCGTCGGCTTTGCATGTGCTTCTCGATGAGCAGGACAGAAATCCAATTTCAGACTGCCCTGGGACCGACAACCAAAAAAGTGGTTGCGTACACTGGTGAAGAATGGCAAGAGGAAGCATCCTCTTCCTCCTCCTCCTCCCCCGTGCCCCTCGCGAGTCACCCAGCCCCGTCTGACCAGCTGGCAGCGAGCGCCCAGCACGTCGCTGGTGGCAACGTCGTCGACCTGCACGCAGAAGACGAAGGCGCCGAAGGGCGTGCCTCCCCTGCGACCGCTGCCTGCCTCGCCTGCGACCAGGGGCAGGCAGCCTTTGAAGAAGCACCGCGGCGGCTTCGGAAAAAAAATCCTCTCAGCCAGCGCCGAACCAGCCACGCCCGCATGGCCTGGTGCGTGCGCGGCCGGAGGCCCAGGCAGGGTCCACGAGGCTGCCCTGCCGATCTGGCCTGCTGACCGGGCCATGGGCCAGACCAGGACACCGAGCCCATGCCACACATCGGAGACGCTTCGACGAAGAAGTGTCGGACACGAAATGTTCCGCCACCGGAAACGCGGGCCCCAGGGCGGCCGGAAACTCAACACCTCCCGTGCCGCCGCAGGGATATAAGCTTCCCGGCCACCCTGGGACAGCCCTCTGCGGCGGCGGAAAAGTGTTTCCCCTAAACAGCCTGTATGTGAGGGTCCAAAGCGTTGCTTCGCAGAGACCAAGTACGGGCGGATGTGCACCTGGATTGGGTCGAAGCCGACTGTCTCCCGATATCCCGTTGTCTCCCTATGCGTCCCGCTGCCTCCCGTCGATTCCCGTTCTCTCTCGTTGTCTCCCACTGGCTCCCGTTGCGTCCCGTTTTCTCCCCTATCCCTATCCCTATCATTATCCCTGTTAGTCGCCCTCCGTTCCCTACCGCTATATGTTCAACCCTTATCCTATGTCCCAATCCCCATCCCGATCCCGACCTTTATCCCTGTTTCCACCCTGTCCCGGCATCCCAAACCCTGCCCCAACATGCCCGAAGCTCCACGGTCGGACGCCCCCATGCTGCTTGGATGGTCGCACGAAGAGGGTGCAAGAGACGGGACGCTGACGTCAGGACCGTCCTGCTGTACCCCCATGAACTCGCCCTCATCGCCAAGGTTCTGAGCAGGATGTCCAAAGAGAGCGCCAACTCCCAGGATCCAGGCTCAAGACAATCGGAAGCATGACGGTGGCCCCGCTTCGGGTGCACGGCGAGCGCACCGTCATCACTACCTCGCCTCATCCTAGCACGTGCGCTGCGCGATGCTGTAACCGAGCAGTCGCCCATGTTCGCCTTCCCGGGTGCCCACTTGGGTGATGTGCTCGACAGGAAATGATGGCGAAGACCACAGGCGGCGCCTGGACGGACGCCGACCAACAATTCCTTGTCGGCGGCTCAAAGATGAGGCCCCGAGGGATGGGGTGCTGAGGACGATCCGCCTCAAACAGTGACAGTTCAACCTCGGATCCCTTCCCTAGCCTTGGGGCACCATCCCTCAGGACGCCAGCCCAGACATCCGGTTCCTCCAATTTTGTCGATGCGCGGGCCCCGGAGGTCTGGGCCACTTCCCTAGGGCCGGTTTCTCGTCCTGAGTCGCTTGTTAACGCTCCCGAGGCCTGGCGAGGGCCCCTGGAGGCCGAAAGCGGCAAAAAAAAATCTTGTGGGAGCGTCGAATCTATGGAATCTTCGAATCGCCCTTCTCCGAGGCTCGCGAGAAATAGATAGCAGCTACCAGTCCTGCGTGAAGCAGGCGGGCGATGTTCGGGCCTCCAGCCGATGGTAGGGGGCGCTTCCGTAGAGCGCCTCCTCCTCCTCCTCCTGCTCCTCCTCCTCCTCCTCCGCCTCCTCCTCCGCCTCTCCTCCTCCTGCTCCTCCTGCTCCTCCTCCTGCTCCTTCTCCTCCTCCTCCTCCTCCTCCTCCTCCTCCTCCTCCTCCTCCTCCTCCTCCGCCTCCTCCTCCGCCTCTCTCTCTCTCTCTCTCGAAAGTCGAGGCCTCTTCCTCGGCAGAAGGCGGCGGAGGGCCGGCGGAGGTGGAACGAGGGCGGCTCCACCAGCGGGAGCCGGGAGAGAAGCCTGGCGGAGGCAAGCAAATCCCACCGGCCTTCTGGGCGTGCTATTTTCCGGCGCGATGTTGGGAGGAGGAAGGAGGAACGCCGAGGGGAATGAAGCGCGAATGGACGGAGCCGAGTGTGTCCCGTCCGCGTGGCTGATTGGCGTTGTGCACTGGACAGGGATGTGAAGGCAAATGCCTGCACTGGCCCCTGGACTCGGGCAGGAGGGAATAGAGACACAAATCTGACCCGACTCCCACCCGCCCTCTGGGCGTCGGTGGTTTAGAGCGTTTCCTCTTCCATCCCTCCCTCTTCCCCATTCGGGGAGGGGTTTACCCCTCCCCCTACCCCCTCCCCGTGGACCTGGACGGGGGGGGCCGCGGGTAGCTAGAGCGTCCAAAACGACCTCGGCGAGGAAGCCAAAATGATTGATTTTACTAGGGTTTTGGCCCCATTTTGGCCTCCTGGAGGGGGGGGGCGTAATTGAGGAACCGCCCTTCGTTGACCGATCTCCTCCAAGATGGCCCCAAGAAGCGCCCAGGAGGCACCAAGAGGTCCCAAGATGGCCCCAAGATGGCCCCAAGAGGCCCCCAAGTGGCCCCCAGGAGGCCCCCAAGAAGATCCTAAGCGGCCCCAAGAGGCCCCCCCCAAGGCACCCAAGACCCCGAAAAGCCCCCCAGGATTGCCAAGAGACCCCCAAGACGTCCCAAGAGGCCACCAAGAATCGCCCAAGAGGTACCCAAAGAGGCTCCGAGAGGCATCCAAGAGACCTCTGGCCCCTGAGCTTGCCCTCCTCCTCCTCCTCCTGTTCCTCCTTCCTGCTCCTACTCCTTCTCTTCCTCCTCCTCCTCCTCCTCCTCCTCCTCCTTCTCCTCCTCCTCCTCCGCCTACTCCTCATCCTATTCATCCTCCTTCTTCCCACTCCCTCATCCATCCATCCATCCACCTCCTCCTTCTCCTCCTTAATTCTCTGCACGGTTCTGCCACACTTCCCTGATCACCTCAACTCGCCTGGACATCGTTTCTGGATGGGCTGGTGGGGATACGCGAAGCGTCTAGAATTCGTATCATAGCTATCTACTGGGCGTGAAAAATCTGACGAGCTCGATCTGCTAACCCTCTTCGTTCCCCTTCGGCTCTCCCTCCCCTACCCCCAGCGAGCCCATGGTGGCCTCCAAGATCGCTCAAGACATCCTAATATGGTTCAATGTAGCTTCCAACACGTCTTCAAGAGGCACCAAGACCGCTCCCAGGCAGTTCATCGTGCCTACAAAACTATGATGTTTGCCTTCTCGCCGGTTCGCTTCCAATGGGCTTCTGAGGCTTCTAGATGGCTCCAAGATGTCCCCAGAGAGCCCCAAGAGGAGCCCAAGAGGAGCCCAAGACGGCCCCAAGCGTGATCAAGAGCCCCCCGAGGGCCCCACAAGGCTGTTTTGGGCACTCCGACGCGATCCCCACTCTTTTGACCGATGGCCTCCAAGATGGCCCCAAAGACCACCAAGAGGGCCAAAAGAGAGCCCCAAGAAAGCCCCAAGGGGGACCCAAGAGATCCCCAAGAGGGCCCAAGAGGCCTCCAAGATGTCCCCACGAGAGCTTCATGATGGTTCACAGAGCGAAAGATCGCAAAGGTGCGTGTATATATATATATGCATAGGTATATATATATACACACATAGACTCCTGTCGTCGTCGTCGTCCTCCTCCTCCTCCTCCTCCTCCTCGTTGTCCTCGTCGCCCCTCCCTCAAGCTCCTTCAACCTCCCTCGAGCTCCTCCTCCCTCTTCGTGCCTGCTCGAACTCTCGCACGTTTCCCCTTCCTTGTGCCCTCCTTGGTCCTTCTCCACCTCGTCTGCGTGTTCCTCTTCCGCCTCCTCCATCTTCTCTCCTCCTCGCCTTCTTCCATTTCGCCCTTCCAAAAAACGGCGAAACATCGGCGAAGTGGGATGCGGTTCACTGCTGGGCCGCATGCTGCCATGAATACCTGATCAGGGCAACTCGACTGGCGTCTGGTGTTGGATGGGCTGGTAGGGGTAAGCGAAGCGGAATCGCGCCCAGGAGATGAGGCTGTTTGGGGGTCAGGGCTTCCAGGACCGACCAGGGGGAGGGCGAGCAGGCGAAGGAAGGAAAAAGCGGGGTCTTGACTCTTGACCTGACTTGGGCGCAATCGGCCCCGATGCGAGAGCGATTGAACTCGTTCGCAGAAGTCGCGCGTGCCCAACACACCGAGCATTCAACGACGCTACAAAGATAACGCACCCAGGGAAGAGGAGACCAACTCTGCGAACATCACAATACGACCATTAACCCACCAGCCACGGAAAGCATACACTTGAAGAACACGAGCCGCTCCCTCTTTCCAGTCTTCCAGAGCAGATTTGGGGAAAAACAGATGAGGCACACTGAGCATCGTCTTCAATGGGGCCAGACAGCCCCAGCAATCGCACAGCCCCCCCGTGAGACAAGCGTGAGCCTTCGATTTCGTCTCCCATGGCGCGCAAAGCATGGTTCGGGTGAGTAGCAGAGGGAGGGTCAACGAATCAGCTCACGCAGCTGCGTTTCAAGCGCCGCGCCAGAGGCGCCAAAGCATCGAGGAAAGCGCCTGGCGGCGGGGTCGAAACCAGCCACGCGCAGCAGACTTTGTACCCGCCCCGTCCCATCCCCCCCTTTCGTCCGACCCGAAATAGGGCGGACAGATTGATCGCCAGAACGATCAGGGAAGAAGGGCGGAGGCGGAGGAGAAGGAGGAGAGGAGGAGGAGGAGGAGGAGGAGGAGGAGGAGGAGGAGGAGGAGGAGGAGGAGGAGAAGGAGGACGAGGAGGAGGAGGAGGGAGAGGGGAAGAGGAGGAGAAAAGACCAAAAGGAGAGGAAGGAGAAAGGATCGAGAGGAGATGAAAAAGGAGGGGGACAGAGAGCAGGAGGAGGAGGAGGAGGAGGAGGAGGAGGAGGAGGAGCAGGAGCAGGAGGAGCAGGAGGACGAAGAAAAGAGGAGGAGGAGGAGGAGGAGGAGGAGGAGGAGGACGAGGAGTGGGAGGAGGAGGGATCGAGAGGAGAAGGAGGAAGCCACCCGAAAGGGCGACGCACGCGAACGGGGCCCAGAGAGAGTGAATCGCACCACTTCTGCTTGGCACGGGCCTCGCGGGCATAGCAACGGAGCCCGACTGCGACCGGCGCAGGGCGCCGCATGGTGGGCCCCAGACTCCCCCGGCGCAGGGGGCGGAGGCAAAGGGTAGTGGTCGCAAAGGACCAGACGAAGAGAATGGGGCAGGGGTGGACGAGGGCAAACATGCGAGGCGGAGATTTATCCATATCCACCGCCTGGGAAC